ATACCTAACATGACTACAAGTTTGGTTGTTATAGATTACAATATACAAAAATCCATACCATTGTAAAATATTTGAAGTGAATAGTTGTCTTATTATCCTTTATTACTATATGCCCACTAAATGAGGATGACCATCCAGAAACTACTGAATGAGCAAAACCACCCACCCCATCTCCTGGAAATGTGGGTATTGTGTTCTCTAGACTGTTTCTTGTCCTCTGGGTGGCACTGACATCTCCAGGGGATCCTAAGAAATTTGAGACAATGGTAAAGCCCTGGGGAAACTAGCTATAATGTTTGTTGTCCAGTCTCTGTACAGTGGGAAAGCACAAGGCGTCTTCCAGCCCTGGCCGGAAGAGTGTGAGCTGAGCCATCCCAGCCAGCAGCCTTGAGGCTGCTCTGGATGCAGAGCTCTGAGGAAACTGCAGAAGAGACACTCTCAGAGGCTGGGTCACCTGGGCCACCATATTTACTGGCTAGCTCTGTCTTAATTACTAACCCATAATTATTAATCTTTGTATTTCTATATGACTTTATCTTACCGGAGAATGCCTGGCATGTCCTATCTTCCCAGTCTCTACATGGCATCCCCCCCCCAGGTCTCCCTCTCTCTCCTTCCTCCTTCCTCTTATAGTCCTGTCTCTGCTTTCTGCCTGGCTATTGGCCAAACAGTATTTTATTGGTCAACCAATAAGAGAAACATATATACAGAAGGACATCCCCCATCAGTGTCTGATTCCCTTGTTCTGAAAACACACAAACTTTCAAGGTTACATACATAACTGTATTAACAAATGTATGGACTGCGGATGGTACACATGCCAGCCAAGGATGGTTCTTTGGTTTTATGTTTGATGAGGTAAAAGACATCTATTAACTTTTATGAGTCCTTTTCTATGTAACCAAACTTCTATCCCTGCCATATGAAAGGATGGCATGTAATAATAAGTCATGAGGACTCAGTAGCCAACAAGATTTATCATGTCTCATTACAGGCTTAGAGATGTTCCCATGTCAAGTGATCAGCATATATGTCACCTGTCTTGTAGTTTTCTAGGTTTATTTCTTTATTTCTATAGCCAAGATTTTCAGGGGATCTTTCCCAATCAAATCTGGTCTCTATTAATTTCGAAGGGATTCACAGCCCTCATTTGCTGTGGAAACAAAAGCATAACCTCTCTCCTAACTCAATACATTTTCTGAATTCCGTTTTAAAGTTAAGGCATTCCTAAACTATCCAGACTGGTTTGATGAAACAGTCCTTTTACAATCTCGTGTCTCTCAGCAGCTGCCATTCACTCATCAGCATTTAAACAATTCAGTCAACACAACACCATACAGGATCCAGACTCCCTGTGCAGTTCCCATCTTTACACGGCTTATAATTTTTATATTACTTTGAACTTTCTTTAATGGATTTACTTAATTTTTCTTTATTTGAGTTTTTCAAGATAGGGTTTCTCTGTGTAGCGTTGTAGACCAGGCTGGCCTCGAACTCAAAGAGATTTGCCTGCCTCTGCCTTGTGAATGCTGGGATTAAGTTGTGCATCATCACTGCCTGGCTTAATTATTTTTTTTTTTCGAGACAGGGTTTCTCTGTATTGTTTTGGAGGCTGTCCTGGAACTCACTCGGTAGACCAGGCTGGCCTCGAACTCACAGAGATCCTCCTGCCTCTGCCTCCCGAGTTCTGGGATTAAAGGCATGCGCCACCAATGCCCGGCCTAAATATTTGGTTAAGCCGGGCGTTGGTGGCGCACGCCTTTAATCCCAGAACTTGGGAGGCAGAGGCAGGTGGATCTCTGTGAGTTCGAGGCCAGCCTGGGCTACAGAGAGAGTTCCAGGACAGCCAGGGCTACACAGAGAAACTCTGTCTCAGAAAAGGAAAAACAACAACTTTACTTTCTTGTAGTATGAATGTCCTTTCATGTATATTTAATACATTTGGATCATAATCCCCCAACCCTGGGCCTCTCCCCCAGTGCAGAAAAAAATCCAGAGACAGATTTTGGGGTTCAGTTTCAAGCTGAAGATCAGAGAAGCAAAGCAGCCAAGCCAGTAGGTGTTACCTCTACCTCAGGCTGAAAGGGCTGTCCTGTCTCCACCAGTCCTGTCACTCCTGTCTCCACCTCCCTAGTGCTGGGATCAAAGGTGAGTGATCCTGAGGCTGGGATCAAAGGCATGAGCTCTGCTGCTCTTCACTCTAGTGTAGGCCGGGGTGGCCTGACTCCTGTGTCCTGGGATGAAGGGTGTGTGCCGCCACTGCCTGGCTCTACCGCTTGCTAGTGTGGCTGCCGAGATTAAGGTGTGTCTCACCAACTGCCTGACCTCTATGGCTCGTGGCTAGCTTTGCTTTCTACCTTCAGGTACGCTTCAATATGTCATAAATAATACGTCACCACAAGCCTGACTATTTGTGGCATTTGGAACAGAGCGTCCCAGCATGGCGAAGTCCATGAAGTTCAGAGGCTGGGAGGGGTTTCCTGGCTAGTTCCCGCTGAGTTCCTCTATGTCCTGCCGTTATGCATGGTGTCTTACAGGTCAGGTGGGCAGCCAAGAACGAGCCAATAGTCTGTGTCATTTGGAGACCTGACAATTGAGGTCACAGGGCCATAGACCTTTTTTCCTCTCTATTTTTTGTTTGTGTTTTTTTTTTTGAGACAGGGTCTCATGGAGCCCAGGCTAGCTCAGATTTATTATGTAGATGAAAATGACCCAGGATTCCTGATCCTCCTGCCTCTACATCCCAAGTGCTGAGTGACAGGCATGTATTCTAGGGCCTTTTAAGCTTTCCTTTGTAGAATAAAGTCTTCTTTTCTATGTGTATGTGGGGGGGGGTGGAACCATTTTATTTGAGGCAGGGTTTCTCTGTTCAGGGCTGGGCTGGAATTTGTTCTGTAGTCTAGGATGGCCACCAACTCACAGAGATCCTCCAGCCTCTGCCTCTGGATTGCTGTGGTTAAAGGCATTCACCACCACACCTGGCTTGGCCATTTTTGAAGGCAAATTCCGTATAACATGTTTATTTTTATGCAAATTCAAATTTGTTATTCCTTTCTCTGTCAATGCTATTTAATGTTAAAGCTTGACAATAATCTCCTTTACCTCAAATACCTATCCTTTCGCTCTGTTGCGCTGTTGGTGACGAGTGTCATCTCCAAATGTGATCTTGGGCCATGATTTCGATGTTGCCCCGTGGGAAGAGTCAGTAGCATTTGAACCTACCCACTTCTGGGAAGGCAGCAGAGAGGGTCGCAGCCCTGACTTCCCGCTGCACCCTGAGGTTCCCAACGGAAACACGGACATACTGCCGCTGCAGGGTCCCATGGGCCCTAAAAACGAAACCTTCCTGCGTGGGTGACACCGGTGGGATCTAGTTTAGGATTTTCTTGGGAAGCTTACGTTTATTTCCAACTCCTGAACTGCGCAGAGACTAGGGAGCTAAAGGGAGAGACAGGGGAGAAACCGTGAGGAGTCTTACAGGTTTTCCTTGGCACAGGGACTGGAACCCAGAGCCATTGCAATGAGTATGAGGGCGCTCCACCCTGACCACGCCCCAGCCCCTCACTGGGGAGTCTGGGCAGGGCTCCACCCCGACTACGCCCCAGCCCCTCACTGGGGAGTCTAGGCGGGGCTCCACCCCGACCACGCCCCCAGCCATCACTAGGGGGTTCTAGATGGTGCTCCACCCCGACCACGCCCCAGCCCCTCACTGGGGATTCTAGGCGGGGCTGCACCCTGGCCACGCCCCCAGCCATCATTGGGGTTGTGCTGATCGGTGTCACATGCGCGCTTCGAAGGACAGCTGGTGGGAGGCAGTCACGCCCACCATTAGATCTCTGAGGGTAAAGTGACCAAAACCCGCTTGGGGAGGGCAGTGTCTGTCTGGCTGATGTCACAGTCCGTCTTGAGGGAGGCCTCAGAAGCCTCTCAGGGCGCGGTTTCCAGGTGCTCCCCCAGCTGCTCGGCCTGTTTTCCAATTCCTCCCTCATACATTACATCCTGACCACAGCTTCCCCGCCTCCTCTCTGCACCAGATCCACTCCTCCTGTTTCCCAGGATTGCAAACAGACAAAATGTAACAAGTGAGGCGAGACACAAAGTTAACCTTGGGAGGCAGCTCAGTGTGCGAGAAGGGTCCCGAAAGCCAGTGAGAGTCAGAGACAGCCTCTGCTCCCTGTTAGGAGGCCCACACGCTACAGCTGTGACATGTACGCAGAGGGACTAGGTCTGCCCCGAGCAGGCTCCCTGGTTGTCGGTCCGGCCTCTGTGAGTTCCTCTGATCCCAGGTTAGCTGACTCTGGTTGTTTTCTTGTGGTGTCCTCCACCCCTCTGGCTCCCACAGCCCCTCCTCCCCCTCCTCCTTGGTGCGCCAGAGCTCCACCCAGTGCTCGGCTGTGGGTCCGCGTCTGTCTCCAGCTGCTGGATGGCGCCTCTCGGCTGGCTGGCTGGCTTCTCAAAGATTGATTCATTTATTATGTATACTACATTCTGCCTCCATCTCGTGACGGATGGCTGTGAGCCACCATGTGGCTGCTGGGAACTGAACTCAGCACCTCTGGAAGAGCAACCAGTGCTCGTAGCCTCTGAGCCGTCTCTCCTGCCTCAGCCAGCTTTCTTCCAGCACCCAGGACCCTGCCCGGGCGCCCCGCCCACAGTGGGCTCAGCCTTCCCCTGTGAATCACCATCGAGACAGCGACCCGCAGGCTGGCCTGGCGGCTTCTCTCCCAGGTCCCCTCGGAAGACCCGGCCACATTGAGCTTGTTCCCACCCCCAGGTGGACCTGGATTTGGGGACAACGAGCGGGGTTGGGAGTGAGTGAGGGGCGGAGAAGGAAATCACATCTGTGGGGGCTGAGCTCACCCAACATGGGGGCGGGGCCACGGGAGGAGCAGGAGTTCAGGGCCATCCTGCACTACTCGGTGACTCTGAGGCCAGTCTGGGCTACCCGAGAGCCTGAGTGGGGTGGGGCTAGCGATCTTCCCCCTCGTGCATCCTGGCAGCCCCTCCCTCCGCCCTGAACCTGAGTGGAGCTCATCGGAAGAGAAAGACCCTGGTGGCCCCCGAGATCAACATCTCCCTGGACCAGAGTGAGGGCTCCCTGCTGTCCGACGACTTCCTGGACACCCCAGATGACCTGGACATCAACGTGGATGACATCGAGACGCCGGACGAGACCGACTCACTGGAGTTCCTGGGGAACGGCAATGACCTTGAGTGGGAAGGTAATGGTGTTGGTCCCTGCCCTGCCCCGGCTTGCGTCTCCCGGGCCTGCCTCCTCGCCAGCCCCGGCCTTATGACTCTGGGAGCCGCGTCAGCCGGGACCCACGGTGTCTGGTGCCCGCATCAGTGTGGGGACTCCGCTGTCACATGGATCGAGGTCCAGATGAGCCCTACCCACGGGGTTGCTGGGGGTGGGGGGCGGCCTGAGGAAACTACACATCCATAGGAGGTTCTAGAATAGAACCTGGCCTGGGGTCGGCTGGTGTCAGCGGCTATCTTGGGTGCAGTCACTGAGGGCTTCCTGCAGGAGGCAGCAGTGTGGCCACGGACACGAGCAGCTAGTGGGGCACGGGTTTGTTCTTGCTGAGTTGGAGGCCGCCGCGGGGGAGCTGGGAGGAGGGGAGGCCTCCGCCCCTGGGACGGGAAAGGGCCGGTACCCGGGCTGGCTCACCCCAGGTATCCCCAGAGCTGTGTGTCCCAGGGTTTCGGGTCCTGCCGCGCTCACAGACTCACCCCACCCCACCCCCCGCAGACGACACTCCTGTGGCCACTGCCAAGAACATGCCCGGGGACAGCGCGGATCTGTTCGGGGACGGGGCGGAGGACGGCAGCGCGGCCAACGGTCGCCTGTGGCGGACTGTCATCATCGGGGAGCAGGAGCACCGCATCGACCTGCACATGATCCGGCCGTACATGAAGGTGGTTACCCACGGAGGTGCGTGCGCCCCGCGTTGCTGGGGCCGGGGCTCACCGCGGGCAGCGCTTCTCCTGACTGGGGCGGGGGCGTCCAGCTGCGGTGTGCGCGTCCAGCTGCGGTGTGCGCGTCCAGCTGCGGTGTGCGCGTCCAGCTGGGGCGGGGGCGTCCAGCTGGGGTGTGCGCGTCCAGCTGCGGTGTGCGCGTCCAGCTGGGGCGGGGGCGTCCAGCTGGGGTGTGCGCGTCCAGCTGCGGTGTGCGCGTCCAGCTGCGGTGTGCGCGTCCAGCTGCGGTGTACGCGTCCAGCTGGGGTGTGCGGGCGGGAGGCCACGGGGTGTCACCTCCCCAGCGGGTGCTGCTGCTCGGGGAGCGGGCGGCCACGGCCCAGCCTGGGCTACCGTGAGCCTCACGGGACGCCGCTCCCCAGGCTACTACGGGGAAGGCCTCAACGCCATCATCGTCTTTGCCGCCTGCTTCCTCCCAGACAGCAGCTCCCCCGACTACCACTACATCATGGAGAATCTCTTCCTGTAAGTCTGAGCCCCTGCGGGGACGGCGAGGCAGCTGAGCTCTGGGCGTCAGAGCCAGCCTGGTCCCCAGCGCAAGGCCTAACTCCAAGCCCCAGGAGTTCAGAGAGCGCATTTGGAGCTCTCTGCTGCTTGGGGGTGGTGCTGGCGATGGAGACCACGGCCCTGGGTGGGGGCTCAGCTCCCTCGCAGAATGTTCCGGAACCCACCAGCATGGGCGTGTGCACACCCGCTCGGGTGTGGCTGGCCCAGCAGGGCTGGCCTGCAGCCCCGGTGCCCCCACATGGGAACCCCGCGTCCCTCCCCACCACAGGTACGTCATCAGCAGTCTGGAACTGCTTGTCGCCGAGGACTACATGATTGTGTACCTGAACGGGGCCACGCCCCGGCGGAGGATGCCCGGCATTGGCTGGCTGAAGAAGTGTTACCACATGATTGACAGGAGGTGAGAGTGAAGACAGGGCCCCGAGGTTGGACCCTTGGTGCCCTTCCCCATCTGCCCGGGAGGCAGAAGCCCAGCCAAGGGCAAGGAGCAGGAGGCTTTAAAGGAAGGCCACCCTAGAGGCCGGCCAGTACCTGCTGGTGACTGACTGCAGGGACCCCTGGAGAGAGAGGCACCATGGGGTGTGTCCTTCTGTCTCTGACCCCATGGCTCAGAGCACTGAGTACTCAAGGGCCGTCCTCAGAGAGGCGTCAGAAAGACGGCCTTTCTTTTTCATGGCTGAGTAATATTCCAGCTGTGACCAAACTGCATCGTTTCTGTCTGTCCGTCTGTGAGTAAACATTGGGTTGTTTCCACTTTGGGGGTTTTATGAATAGCTTCAAACAGATTTTTAAACCCCCTAGCACTTCCTAGAATTCAGGACAGTGTGTGTGTGTGTGTGTGTGTGTGTGTGTAAGAGTCACGCTACTGTCTGGTGTTGAGGTGTCCCAGGGCCTGTAAATCTGCACGCTGTGAGGGTGCAGTTGGCTAAAAGGACTTGGGGCATCAGGCCGGGGAGACACCATGGGTGAGTGGTCCACCTCCTCCCCTCCGGCCCCTGTACCCCAAGCCTGAGCCTGCTTTGTCCTCACCCCCCCCCCCACAGGCTGCGGAAGAACCTGAAGTCTCTGATCATCGTGCATCCCTCCTGGTTCATCCGAACTGTGCTGGCCATCTCCCGGCCCTTCATCAGGTGCGGCTCAGGCGCTGTCCTGAGTTTCCACTGACCGCCACCTTCTCCTGGAGACCTGAGACTCGATGGCCCGACCAGACCCAGTGATCCTCCTGTCTCAGCCTCCCCAGCTCCGGGGTTATGGCTGCTGGTGTTTTCTGCACATGCTGTGGATTTGAACTCATGTCCTGACATTCTTCTTACTTTATTTTTTTATTAATTTGCTTTTTTACATTCCAATCCCAGTTCCCCCTCTCCTCCCATCTGCTCCACAGAGAGGGCAAGGCCTCCCCTAGGAAGTCTACTGAGTCTGTCCCATCACCTCATTGAGGCAGGACCAAGGCAGCTCCCCACCCCCACGCCCCTGTGAGCAAGGCGTCTCTCCATACGGAATGGGCTCCACTAAGTGGGTTTGTGCACTGGAGTTAGATCTCGGGCCCACTGCCAGTGCTGGCCCTTGTTTTTAAAGCCACGTCTCCCTGTGTAATATAAGTCAGTGCTGAAGTGGCAATCCTCCTGCCTCAGATCCTTGACATGCACCATCAGGCTAGGCAGAGAATTCTGCTTTTTATTTGTAAGAACACATTTGGAGGGCTGGCGAGCAGGCTGTGTGGGGAGAGGAGCTTACCGCCAAGCCCGACAACCTGGGTTCAGTCCCCGAGACTGCATGTTGAATGGAGGGAGCCTCAGCTGTCATAGTGTTCCATCAGTGCAGGCACAGTGAATAGCTGGGAAAACGTTTCTAGAAAGCACGTCTGAGGTGTCTGAGCTCCATCACAGTCGTGCGGGGCAGGGGCCCAGCACTCGATTTGGTGAGCTGGGGGTGGTGTGGCCAGCTCTGCCTGGTGACCCCTCACCTGCTCTCTGCCTGTCAGTGTCAAGTTCATCAGCAAGATCCAGTACGTGCACAGCCTGGAGGAGCTGGAGCGACTCATCCCCATGGAGCACGTGCAGCTGCCCGCGTGTGTTCTGCAGTGAGTGCCCCCACACCGGCCCTCAGCGGCTTCCTTTCCATGGTGAACACGGCGGGGTAGGACAGGCTGCTCAGCGGTTAGCGCAGCAGCTGCTCCTGCAGAGGACCTGGGTTCAGTTCCCAGCACCCACACGGGGATCACAACCTCCTGTGACTCTAGTTCTGGGACCTGGCGCCCCCATCCGGCCTCTGTGGGTACTGCACGCACTCACAGGCACACCCAACGCTGAATCCATACCTCAGCACACAACTCAGTTGCTGTCACACTGTAGCTCTGTCCCAAGCCCTGGCACCCACCCTCCCCCTTCTCTCCATGGCCCTGACGCTCCTGGGAGTGGCCCCGCCGTCTCCTTATCTGACTCCCTTCGTGTGGTTTTCTTTCCCTCAGGTATGAAGAACAGAGACTCAGAGCCAAGGGAGAGAGGTCAGTGTGGCACGCTTGTTGAGTGGCCCTGAGGGGCAATTTGATGGTCTCTGCTTGCTGGAGACCAAATGATGTCCCCACTGGCTCGGTTCTGCCTTTGGATGTGGGAAAACTGATAGGGGCAAACCTGAAGGCCTGAGTTCAAATCCCTAGCACCCATGTAATCCTAGAACTGGGGAAACAGAGAAGGGGTCCTGGGTCTCACAGGCCTGCAGCCTACCTGAACCAGTGAGACACACACACACTCACACACAGAGACACTCACACACTCACACACATAGAGACACACACTCACACACACATAGAGACACACACTCACACACTTTCTCTCTCACACACACATACACACACACACACACGAGGTGCACACACACCTCTCACACACAAAGACCGGCCTCTCACAGGAGGCCTCTGGAGTTAGCCATGAGTTCAAACCCAGCCTTGATCATCTGTTGCATGGTATTCATCTGTTCCGGGAGTGGGATTGCAAACCACCGCTCACACGGAAAGGGGTCAGCTCCCTTTCCATCAAACAGGGATCAGACTTGGGTTGTCAGGCTTGGCCACAAGTGCCTTTACCTGCTGAGCCATCTTGCCGGCCCCTGCCTCCCTCACTTAGATTGAGGACCTTACTCAACAGAGCCCAAAAGGGGTGACATTTGCACAAATGCCAACCCAGACTGGCTCTGCCCACATGACCCATACACAGTCACACAACGCCTGAGCTCAGGCCTGGACGAGGCCCTGAAAGTTTCTCTGTTTCATTTATTTGTTTATTTGGTTTTTCGAGACAAGATTTCTCTGTATTGTTTTGGAGCCTGTCCTGGAACTTACTCTGTAGACCAGGCTGGCCTCGAACTCACAGAGATCCGCCTGCTTCTGCCTTCCGAGTGCTGGGATTAAAGGCGTGTGTATCTTTAAAGTTTCTGTACAATTAACACTCAGCGTTCAATCCTCACTGTACTTGTCCCCGTCACAGGGCTGTGCGCCCCCACCCACCTCTCAGAACTTTCCAGATCATGCAGAGATACTCTCCCCCATCGCACGCTAACTCCCTCCCCAACATGCTCTTGATGCCCCCACCCCTCAACCCCCAGTCTCTGTGAGTCTTGGGAGTGATCCTGCTGAGTTCCCTGTCCTCACATCATCCGTGTTGGCAGAGCTGCACCCTTTTTCCTGACTGGGTAATAGTCCGTTGGTCCGTGGGAAAGGCTCTTCAGCAGTGGGTGGGGTCCAGTGGTCCTCTGCCCCATCACCCCTGCCTTGCACACTTCCTCACTACAGAAGCCCAGTATTTTTCTTTTTTGAGACAAAGTGTTTAGAGGCCAAGGCTGGCCCCAGAAGCCATGCCTCAGTGTTCCCATGCTGGGCTGGGAGGTGCCCGTGAGCCTGGCTGTTTCTGCTCCCGCCACCCAGGCCTTCCAAGCCTGCGCATGGGGCCGCAGCTCGGCAGGTAGAGTACTGGCCTTGCTGGGCCCTTCCCCTGGGTCTCAAATGTTTTTTACTCTTGTGGCTTCTTGAGGGACCCATGACCCAGCTCCCAAATAAGTCACACGCAC